AAAGAGTGTGAAAAGTTTAGTGGCATAAACAAATAATGGACACTTTAGCAGCTGTGCAGAAGTGCTGCAAGACATCCAAAAAAGCAGAAACTTTCTGGAAATATTAAAAAATGTGAAAAGAGATGTTTTAAAGTGGAATAGAATAGAATAGAAAAGACCAGACCAGACCAGACCAGACCAGACTATTTCAGTTGGAAGGGACCTACAACGATCATCTAGTCCAACTATCTGACCAGTTCAGGGCTGACCAAAAGTTAAAGCCTGTTGTTAAAGGCATTGTCCAAACGCCTGTATCTTATAGACAATACTGTACCAATTAGAAATTGCCTTATACATGCTAAAGAAAACATACAGATTAGGGAGAATTTCCAGAGGGAACATAGAGCAGTGGGCATGCTCCTGACTGCAAACGTTTATTGTATAGGTGTTTAAAAATATCTAGAATGAAAAAAGGACACCATGCCTTTAGCATTAACTGATGCATAGAAAGCCAGAACTCCTGCAAAACATTGCAATGAGAAGCATCATCTATGGAAGGATCAGTGATGCCTGTCTTATTTATCCAAAAGATTCATTACTTCCTAATACTTCTGCAGTCTTGTATTTTGTACTTTCATCATTTGCCTCCACTACCTGTAATTTTTATAAGCATATATGGTCCAAGACCTATCTGGTAATTATTATGCAATCTGGTTAATGACCTGGACATTAAATAATTATAGGCTATTATATATAGATTATTTGTATAGGATAGGGATGTGCAGCACACCTTCTCTTTCCCAACGCCCTCATGGTTCCAGTACACCAAGGGTAGTTATGCTGGACTGTTGAGTGTTTCTCCAAAGATACGGAGTTCTTGCTGTTGGCCAAGGGGAGATGTGAACACAGGACAAAATGGTGTAGCCAGGGAAGTAGAAAAAAGGTACAATCTCCTTCAGTTCTGTGCAGTATAATCTAGTTTTGTATTTCAGAATAGCTCCACAGTATTGTGAGCTTTGTTTGATTTGAGGTACTTTGGAAGCTTTTTGTAGCTACTTTATGTCCTGTGTTTTGTCAATAGTGAACAAAAATTAAAATGGTAATTAAATAATAAGAATCCTGGAATAAAGAAATGGGAAAAATCTTTGAAATCTATTTTCAGATAGTTTTTTTAGTTAGATTTGTAGTGCAAAAACACAGCTGAGATTATATTTCTAGTGCTTGTTTTTATACATATTTGCTTTATGGATTTTTATATGCCTCCAGATGCTGGACACGGGAGGATTTTTTGCTTAGAGATATCCAGAAGCATAAGCACATATTTCATAGCCTTGTCTGTGTGAGCACAAATAGGATGTGTATGTGCTACACATTTCTGTTCCTAGTTGTGCAGCTGAGCTGAGTTGGAGAATTTACTGATTTCTGCAAGCTATTTTTTCCCTACTTAGCTTCCTCTAGCCCTATTTTATTCTGATTTTATTTTGATTTTTTTTTTGGCAGGTTGGTTTTTTTTTTCTCTTTGAACATACTTTTTGGAAGTGTCTTTAAAGAGAGCTCTCACAAGCTCTCCTAAGATACTGCCATCTGACTGCTTCTAGTTGCCATAGTTTTCACTGGGAAGAACAGTTCTTATGAAATAGTAGACTTCAGTTATGCGCTGTGTGATTGCCACTTTCCTATTCATCTCTTCTGGCAAGATCATATCTATGATAAACGCCTAACAGTCATGTCCTCTAAATCCAGCTCTAGAAAGGACATAGAGCCATCTAAACAGCATCCACTTGGCAAGTCTTTGAGCTTAGCTTTCAGCCCATGTGGTCCTGAGAATCTGTGCAGGAAAGTTATTTTAGTCCAACACCTTTCTGGCTCTCTGCTCTGAAGAAAAAAAGCAACAATTCTTTGGATGGAACATTTAACACTTCTAAAAGCACACTGTCAGCTAGACCTCAGGCAAAATGATGTAGATTTACTCTTTTCCCCATGCTAAGGTCACTCAAAACGTATCAACCAGTGGTGTTTTTTTTTAATTCAGTTGCCTAAATGCAGGATGTCATGCCATTTGAGATGTCTGAGAATATCCCGTGTGACCCACACTGTAGTCGTGTCTGACTATGGTTTTTCATGGATGACCCAGCTCCCCTTGGACATCTCAAAAGTAACTGGATACCTATATGTGAACAACTAATTCAAATCTAAGGTATCCATATGTACATTCACTGTCCATACTTCTATTGGAGCTGTAGACATGGGCCATGCACTGGTGATTTATGTGCATTTGTGCTGCCTACCTGTTGTGGAGGCAAGGTGGTGTGTGCCTGCTGAGGCATAAGATTTTCCAGTCTCTTTCTTGGATATTCTTGAATTCATGCACTGTTCTTGATCATTTATCAATCATCTGATCTATGCATGTTATATGTGACAGAATCATTAAATCATAGAATGGTTTAGATTGGAAGGGACCTTTAAAGCTCATCTAGTTCCCATCCCCCCCTGCCATGGGCAGGGATGTCTTTCACTAGATCAGGTTGCTCAAAGCCTCATCCAACATAGCCTTGAACACTTCCAATGATGGGACAACATCTCTGGGCAACCTGTTCCAGTTTCTTACTACCCTCATTGTAAAAATGTCTTCCTTATATCTAGTCTAAATCTACCCTCTTTCGGTTTAAACTGTTACCCCTTCTCCCATCACTGCAGACCTTGGTAGAAAGTCTTTCTTCATTTTTCTAAGTCCCTTTATATATTGAAAAGCTGCAGTAAGGTCTCCCTGGAGCCTTTCTTCTCCAGGTTGAACAGCAACTCTCTCAGCCTTTCTTCACAAGAGAGGTGCTGCAGCCCTCTGACAGTTTTCGAGGCCCTTCTCTGGATCTGCCCTAACAGGCCCATGTCTTGTATTAGGGACTGCAGAGCTGGATGCCATATTCCAGATGGGGTCTCATATCTATTGACACTGTTGATTGCCCTGTCCCAGGGGCAGGACCTTGCACTTGGCCTTGGTGGACTTCATGAGGATCACAGTGGCCCACTTCTCAAGCCTCTCAAGGTCCCTCTGGATCCCTTCTCTCAAGTGTACCAGCTGCATACTCAACTTGTATTACCTGGAAACTTGCTGAGGGTGCACTCAGTCCCACTGTCTATGCCAGTAATAAAGATATTGAACAGTACCAGTCCCAATACAGACCCCTGAGGGACACCACTTGTTACTGATCTCTATTTTGTCATTGAGCTGTTGACTGCAACTATTTGGATGCGACCATGCAACCAATTCCTTATTCATTGAATAGTCCATCCATCAAACCAGTATCTCTCCAATTTAGAGACAAGGATGTTGTGTGGGACCATGTCAAAGGCTTTGCAGAAGGCAGTTGCTCTTCCCTTATCCACCCCTGCAGTCACTCCGTGGTAGAAGGCCACCAGATTAGTCAGGCTACTAATCAGTCAGGCTTTCTACTTGGAAAGCTGATCTTTCTTACACTGCAAGAAATAGAAGCTCCTGCTTGTTGGTATATGAGAGGTGAGCCAAAGGTGAGAGGAATATGTTCCATGTACACTGGCTCACAGAGCCCACAAAAGTTTTTATCTTCTTGTGTATTTAGGGTGTTCCATAATGAACTTAAATAATATCTTGTTCGGAGACCTGTGAGAACAACGGTACCTGAAATACAATTGATCTTAAAGTCTACAGTAACATGGCACTAACAGCTGTATTTAAGTACCTGTAAATTCAGGAGTTACTGAGATGGAAGCTTGGAGCATATTGATTGCAATTTGGTGTTCTGCTTCACTCTTTGTACTAAATCTGTTAGTCCTGAGTAAGTATCTTCTGTAGAAAACAAGAAAATGGTGTTTGTTTCTTTTCTTCATGCTTTTAGTATACTTTCTAGAAAGAAAGTGTGTGTTGCTTGCAAGTGAATACAGGTCTGTTTTCCACACCTGTGGTATTCCAGTCTTCTGCCATGATCTTCATTTGATGGACTTCATTGCAAAGCAAAAGTGATCTGCAGACCTAGTATTAAGCTATGTGAGGGCACACCATTCCTCTTACAGCACCTGGGTGATGGCTGTACTGTTACAACATTGTGTTGATACCCCATGAAAACTGAAGCCTCTAAGGGCAAACCTCCAGCCCATAAGCCATGAAGAGGAGCATGATTCATGTCTCTGTTGGGGAGGTAGGAAAGTCATGATTCTGCTTGAAAGGGTCAGATTAGTGTTATCCTGTTCAGATGTGGGA